AGGGGGGGGGCCCCAAGTGTTTGACCGGCGGGCACCGTGGGTATGGGCAAAGGGCCGCGCCCGAGAGAGAGTGTGGGGGGGGCCACCGGGGGACATTGGACGCACTCGGAAACGTCAGACGGAACGGGGGGAGCGCGGCCACGGAGAGGGCAGGCAGGGAGTGGTCCGAGCAGAGGACGCCCCTTGGGGAAGTTGTGGGAGGTGTGGGGGACTGTGGGGAGATGTGGGGAGATGTGGGAGATCTTGGGGAGTGTTGGGAGTTGCGGGGAGCTGTGGGGAGGTTTGGGGAGGTTTTGGGAGGTGTGGGTAGGTGTGGGTAGGTGTGGGGAGGTGTGGGGAGGTGCGGAGGAGAGGACGCACTCGATGGCGAGAGCGGCGGCGTAGTCGTTTGTGACGTGAGACCCGTCCGCCTCCGAGTAGAGTGCGGTGTTGAAGGTGGCGGCCTTCGAGTTTGAGGCAGAGCGGGAGAGGCGCAGGAAGAGGGGCTCGATGAACTCCGCGTGCGCCAAAAAGTCGACTTGCGGCGAAGTGAGCAGCTTGGTTGTGGCGCCGACGAGGGTGGCCAGCGCGTTGGAGGAGGAGGGCGAGAGGTCGTACGCGGTGAAGATGGCGGTGAGGAGCGGCGCGTCCGAGGAGAGGAGGCGGAAGGTCTCGAGCACGAGCGCGCGCTGCCAGATGGGGGTGCCTTCCGCCTCGAGCATCTTCCCAAGCGTCACGAGCAGAATCTCCGCCTCTGTGCGGACGGCGCGCGCGTAGCTGAGCAGCAGGGTGGCGGTGAGGTGGCAGGCGCGCAGCGCGTGCTCCCAGTCGGTCACGGCCTGGTGCTGCACGGTGTGCTGCATGCACTTGAGCGCGAGCGGGCAGACGTGCTCGTGCAGGAGGTGACGAAAGTCGGGCTGGCCGAGGAACAGCGTCGCGTGCGAGGCCAGCGTTCGCTGCACAACCTCGAGCGCAAACACCGTCGGCACCGGCGACGAGAGACCGGTGAGCCACTGCGCCGGCTCGCCGGACGCGAGGTCGCACAGGTCCACCACCGCGAGGTACGCGCACCGTGCCGCGACGGACAGCCGCGATAGGTCGCGCGCTGCCGAGGCGGCGGCGGACGGCGCGGCGGCGGCGGGCGGCGGCGCGCGGGGATCCTTTTGGGCGGCGGCCGCCTCTGCAGATGCGAGGTCGAGGAGGAGCGAGACGAACTGCTGCCCCGTCGCGGACGCCGTGTGCCTGGGAGGTGCGCATTTCCCCTCACGTCATTCGTCGTTCAGATTGAATGCGAGGAGGAGATGGTGCCGGGGAGGTGCGAAAGGCGGGGGCACGGATCGGGCTCATCGGGACACATTGCAATGTCTCGCGAGCTGCCCGCGAGCTGCCCGCGAGCTGCCCGCGCGCTGTCCGCGCTGGCTGTCCGCGCAGTCTCTTTCTCTGCGAAGTGTCTGCGAAGTGTTTGTGCGAGCTCTCCACACCTCACGGTCACTGAGCGAGAGCCGAGCAGCGTGAGGCAGAGGAGGAGGAGTTGGGAGACGAGGAGGTCGGTAAGGAGGAGGGCCGGGGAGGAGGCGATCGTCAGCACCGTCTGAAGCACCTTGAGCAGCATCGAGTCCTCCGACGGCATCTGCGCCCGCGCGATCAGCTGCGACGCGATCGCGGGCAGATGGACCGGCGCGACGGCGCTGTGCGAGATCATCCGCTGCACGGCGGAGAGGGCACAGAGAGGGAGAGCCTCCGACTTGCACGCCAGCGCGAGCGTGAAGGGCAGGAGCACCTCCTCCGACGTCGCGACCGCCGCCGCCTGCTCAGCAAGCGGAGCATCCTGCCGCAGCGACTCCTGCGCCGTGCGCAGCCGCTGGAGCGCGCGCTCCGCAGCCTCCTTGACCTCGGGGAAGCGGCGGCGCGCCTCCATCGAGAGGCTCCGCAGGTCGGTCTCGACCGTTCGAAGCAGCGCCATGGGCGGAAAGGCACAGGAGCACCGCCGACAACACTCCTCTGGAGTGAAAAGAATTTTAGAACCGAAGCCTTTCGCACACGCACGATTCACACGACAGACAAGGCGCAGGCGACGGCTTCCTTAGAAGTGAAAAGAATTTTAGAACGAAGACCCCTCGCACAACACTGGGCACGGGACTGGCTCGCACTGGCAATAACACAGGTACACCACGGGAGCCGCCTAACTAAGCGACTCCTGCGAGAGTGGCGAGGCACTTAGCTCCGTGCACCCGCCCACCCCCGCCACAGGCTGCAAGCTCATCCACAACCTGCTCTGCGATTGCCGTGTGAAGAACGACTGAGATACGCTGCTTCTGCAGCCCCAGCCAATTCTTAGTGGTCCAAGTCACCTCATCGAGGTACTGGGCCCGCGTCAGCTTGTTCTGTAGCACGTCCGCCGCCTTCCGGAGGATCTCACGGACCCCCTTTCCGAACCCGCCGAACGATTCGAACAGCAGCAGCTGCACTTCAACGCCCTTTTTTTCCTGGGAGAAGGTATAGTCCCCGCCGTAGGAGGGTAAGGGGGGGTAACTGCCCAGCACCCTGCCCCCCTTGGTATGCCAGCGCCGGGTCCCTTGCCTTTTTTGGCCTTTGTTGTTCCTTTCCCCTTGAAAGCAGCCCCCCCGGTATCCTTATCCCCCCCCCCCCTGCTCCTCTCCCTCCCCCTCTCCCACCCCCCCCCTCCCCCCCTCCCCCTCCTCGCAGTAGGGCCCATGCCCCATGACCCATAGTCGGACCCATACGTCAAGGCACTCGAATAAATAAATAAATACAACGGACATCCCAAGCTAGGGCTGGGTCGAGGACAGACACGTCCCCACCTTTGCAGGATTTTGCAAAAGCGAGGGGGGGAGGGCGCATCGCCGCGCGGAGAGGGCTGGGCACAGGGCACAGGGGATCTCTCTCGCATAGGATATGCACTCGGCGGCACGAGGGCAAGGCTGGGCGTCCTATGTTAAGGCACTCGAGCCTGGGTACGACGGAGGCACCCCCATTTCTTTGAGCCATAGCGCGCACCCACAGGCGCGGCCCTCTTGCAGCTGGACTGTTGGGCAGCTGCACGCGCATGGGAGAGCAACGGAAACTACCCTCACGTCGCCAGCAAGGAAGCGGTCAACGGCAACTGGTACAATGCCACGTTGATTCATCGGCGGCAGCGGGCTGAGCTCGTCCGCCAGCTGCCCATCGTCCCACGCCGAGGGATCGGCAGGCAGGCGGCGGCGGCGTCTCAGAACGAGGCCGAGGAGTTTACTCCGAGGCTGCTCGTGCCTTCTGGAACGAGCACTTTGCTACAGACACGACCGTCTTGGGCGTGCACTTGCGTGGCACAGATAAGGTGGTCATGTCGACACGCCCCGTCGGTGTACAGAGTTATATGCCGCTTATCCGCGCCTACCTGTGCCATGAGCCACGCGCAGCGCTCCGTTTGCTACGTGACCTGCGCGCGGCACTTCCCTCCACCAAGATCGTCGCACGCGACTTGCCACGGAGTGAGAGCTCTCGTAATCCGGTCCTTGATGGGGGCAATCAGAGTGCGGCGGCAACGGCCGGGATGGACGTGCTCCTGGACACGCTACTGCTCTCGCGATGCCACTTTCTCCTCAAATGCGCGTCGATGGTCTCCGAAGCAGCAACCTACTTTTCGCCCGCATTGATCGAAGACTCGTACGACTTTCATGTCATGGGACATCACCCCAAACCCACTTGGATCCATGCGTGTTCAAGAAGCAAGGCTGCCGGCGCCCGGTGAGGGACCGGCCGAAGGGTTATTTTCGTTTTGTAATGACTGCCATGCGCTCGTCTACAGGAGAGAGAGAGAGAGAGAGAGAGAGAGAGAGAGAGAGAGAGAGAGAGAGAGGGCGGCGTCTTGACACAAGATTCGTAGTTGTGTGTGTGTGTGTGTGTGTGTGTGTGTGTGTGTGTGTGTGTGTGTGTGTGTGTGTGTGTGTGTGTGTGTGTGTGTGTGTGTGTGTGTGTGTGTCTCGCGCCTTGCAGTTGCAGGGGGGGAGCGGAAAGGAGGAACCTCTTCCCAAGAGCACCACTCTTGGAGCGCCGCCACTACGTCACTGCCAACAACAAACCTAAAACTTCACGTGACAAACATTATTACCGCCGGAAACGGTAAAAAGCCCACGAGACGTTATACGCACAGCACAACAATGTTACACTTGCCCCTCGGCGCAGCTTCCGTCGCGGCCGCGACCGCCGCCGCTGTCCCCGACCGCGCCATCATCGTCTCGCGTCACGGCGTCCGCCGCCAGTTCCCCAGCTCCGCCTTCAACTTCTCGCTCTACGCGCCCGGCAAGCATTTTGACACGTCGGACGAGGCGTGGGGCGCGGGCGGCGAGGGCATGGGCGTGCTCACTCAGCACGGGTACGCCGCGGTGCAGCGGATGGGCGCCTATCAGTCGGGGCGCTACGCCTCGCTCCTCTCCGCCGCCGACGGCGGCTGCGCCGACGGCGCCGCCTTTGTGTATTGCGAGGAGAACATGCCCCGCGACGAGAAGACGGCAGAGGCCTTCTTCAAGGGGCTCGGCTGCGCGCTCCCGCCGCTGCACTCAGAGGGCGTCGAGTACCTCATCGACCAGGGCTCGAAGCCGCGCGGAGAGAACGGCCAGTGCGCGCTCGGCACGCAGGCGCAGGTCGAGGGCCGCGTCGGCGGCAGCGTGGACGGGTACCTGCGGCTGTACAAGCCGCTGCTGGCCAAGCTGTCGGAGCTCCTCGGCTGCTGCGCAAAGTCGCTGTGCCCGGCCGGGATGGAGAGCTGCAGCCTCGAGGACCTCCCTGGCTCGTGGGACCCCGCGCACTGGTACACCACCTTCTCGGGCCCCATCTATGCGGGCAAGTACTTTGCAGAGTGGATCGAGCTCACGATGCTCAACGGGATGGACTTTGCGTGGGGCAAGCTATCGGTGGAGGAGGTGATGGAGTTCTCCGCCTTTGTGACGCAGTACCGCGCCTTTGAGTTCGACCTGCTCGCAGCGCGCCCCTTTGGCTCCGCCCTCCTCTCCCACATCGCCGCCTCGCTCACCCAGTGGGAGAGCGGCCAGCGCGAGCCGGCGCTGGCGCACGACCCGTCGCCGCGCCTGGTCTACTACGCGGCTCACGACACCAACCTGCTCTACCTCGCCGAGCTGCTCGGGCTCAAGTGGCTCTCCCACGGCTACCAGCCCAACCACACGCCGCCCGGCGGCGCGCTCGTCTTTGAGGCCTTTGGGCCGGCCAACCCCGCGAATCCGCTGGACGAGTGGCAGATCGCGCTCTACTTTGACATCCAGACGCCGCTGCAGATCCGCGAGCTGACGGTGCTGTCGGACGACGACCCGGCGACCACCCCGAGCCGCGTCCCCGTCACCATCCCCGGCTGCAGCACCAAGGCGGAGGACGACCCGCACGCGCCCCTCCTCTGCCCGCTCTCGACCTTCACCCGCCTCGTGCGGCAAGCGGTGCAGCCCGAGTGCATCACGCCGCCAGACCTGCGCGCCTTTGCCAAGGGGCGGACCGCCACCATCTTCGATACCATGCCGGGCGCGGGCTACTTCACTGCCGGCGTCTTCCTCGCCTTTGTGAGCGTCGCCGTGTGGGTGGCGGCCGAGCGGCGCGCCGCTAGATGCCACGCAGCAGGGCGGAGCACTGAAACCATGCGGAATGCGTTGCTGCCTCGACGAGAACACACGGTCACATCGTGGTGACATGCGTGTTGTTGTCGCCCTACCTCTGCACTCCTTTTGTAGGCATGCCGGCGGCGGCGTGCTGGTCGTCGTGAAGGAGAAGGGCGAGACTGTCTCGCTCGTCTCCGTGCCCGACCACTCCCGCGCGGTTTGAAGCGCCCGGCCGTCGGGCTGTGGCACACTTGTGGGGGGGGCTGGCTGAGGCCGGGCTTGGAGCGCGCGCTTTGCAACGTGGCGAGTGACGTGGTGCAGAGTGGGGCTCGCCAGCCAGAACCGGATCTGTGTGGGGCGACCAAACCACACCACGGACGGTGTGGGAAAATGTGTTTGCGCCTCGTGTTTCTTCCTTCACTCACACACACATACAAAGCCGGCCCCCGCCCCCCCCCCGCCCGCCCGTCCCTCGCGGTTTGCATGGAAGGCGCTCGAGCTGCCGTACTTGCTGAAGTGAGGCCACTCGATGCACGCCATTCGGCACAGCAACCGCAGAGATACGCGAACAAATGGCAGCAATCCCGTGCGCCTTCCAAGCTTGCACACAGGCGATGCAGCCGAGCAGTGTGCGCATGCCGCCTTCCATCGCGACCTCCTCCTCACGTGGAGACGACTTGATGAGCCCACCGGAGCGCCTGTGAGCATGCTTAGCATCAACAAGGCGAGATTCTACCTCCCCTTGCAGCTCACCGGGTTGCGCTTCAATGCGTTTGTGTGGAGGAGTGGAGGCGGCGCTGCGCCTCTGATTGCGACGCCGTGGTGGGCACCGCCCGAGACTCGACTAAGACGTGCGCCCTGCGCGGTGCACATCAGCGGACCGGCGTCCCTGTACACTTCTTGGTTCACTGGCTTCCACCATGGGCACTTCATGCCTGACCACATGCCATTGATTCAGTGGCTCCAGGACGTGGGAAGCCCTGGCACGCCGGTGGTAGTCGGCTATAGGACTGACCTACCGGAGGCGAGCATGACATTCCGCTTCCTACAGTGGCTCGACGCGTCGCTACTCACCGGGCGGCGCATTCTCTGGGTCCGGCTGGGCGCCGTCGCCTGCGTCGACTCGGGCGTCCTCCACCTCGCAGCGCCCAGGGTGCCGTCGCCAAACAGCCTGCGGCTGCCGAGCTTGCACCGTAGGACGGCGAGTATGATCTCGCGCGTGCGTCCCGTCGGTACGCCGCCACGTGCCGGCCAGCTTGTTGTGTACTACTCGCGAGCGGACCTCAGCCGGCGCCGTCTGCCATTTGCGAATGAGGCGCTGGTGCTCAGCACCATCCGAGAGAGGATGCGTGCTCATGCACGAGCCGAGACCCTCGTGACCTTCACCGGACGAGGCGAGACGTTCGCTGATCAGTTTCGCACATTCTCCAGGGCGAGCGTTGTGGTCGGCGCGCACGGCGGGGGCATGATGAATGTGGTGTGGATGCAGCCGAGCAGCGCGCGCTGGGCTGACGGCGGGGCACCCTCACCGGCGGCACCGCGGCTCACCGGCTCACCCTGCACCCTACCTCACGTCGTCGAGTTCGTCTGCGGCGCGCGCAGCTCGAGGGTGCAGGCAGGCTGCCCGTTCCGAAAGTCGGTATTCACGTACTTTGGAGGCGCGCCGTGGGTGAACTTCCACCACGTTCTCTTCGAGGCCACGTCGAGCAGCTCGCGGACGCTTGTCAACGCGAGCGACGTCGCTCGCGCGTTGGACGCGGTGTGGGGCGAGTGCAGCGGCTGATTCGAGTGTGATTCGAGAGGTGGGCCTCCAAGCTCCATGTCCATCCCTCTCTGCTCCTGAAGGGGGGGCGGATCATTTTTATTGAGTATACGAAGTGCAAGTACACCAGACGACGCGAGACGAGTCGCGCCGTGACGGGGGGAAATGTAAAGAGGTACATGCGCAGAGGATCGAGAGGGGACTGCTGCCAGCGACCCATCGCAAACGACTACTGGCCATATGCCCGTGATGCGGGGGGCAAGGCGAGACGGGGCGGCGGCGCAAGCGCCGAGTCCCGGCGGCCGCCTGCGCTGCTAGACCATCAGACCATCTCGGTGTCGCCGCCGCCTGGCCAGCGGCGGCGCTCGAGAAGCAGAGGCGCCTTGCAGAGCGGGCATGTGGCGTCGAGCTTCGTGTGCTGCACCTACGCGTGTGTGTCGGCGGCACGGCGGCATCAGAGGGGCGGGACAGGATTGCGGAGCCGGGGGGCGGGACCGGAGGGCGACCCGTGGGCCCACGCGGTGGGGGGAGGGGCACCTTTCCCCCCTAAAAGACAAGCTGGGGGAAATTTTCTTAAAATCCTCGGATCTTCTTGGGGTCCCCTGGGAATCCCGGGGATATTGGGGGGGGTCCCGGGGGGACCCCCTTTCCTAAGGGGAAGAAGGGGGTTAAGGATGTTTTTTCAAGGGAAACCCCCCCCCTTTTAAGAAAACCCCCAAATTGGGGGGGGGGGGGGGGGGCCAAAACCGGGATGTTGTTTTCTCGAAACCTCCTCAGGGGGGGCTCCTATACGCGGCCGGAGTCCCGGCCACACCGCCGAAGTAGTGGATGCCTCACCACACACGAGGCCCTTATAGATTCAAGGGCGGTAGGGGGGGGGCACCCTCGCTCCCGTCGTCTCTCTCGCCCTCGCCACCCCCACCTCGGTCTCCGCCCCCACCCCGGTCGCCGCTGCCGCCCTCGCCGCCACCGCCGCCGCCGCCGCCGCCGCCGCCGCCGCCGTCGCCGCCGCCGCCACCACCGCCGCCTCTGTCCGAGCTGCTCGCAGCTCCCCTCGCCGCCTGGCTAAGCAACCGCATGTCGCGCGCTGTCTCCGCGACGCCGCGAGATCGGCCGCTGTGCTGCGCGGTCGCCTGAGGCAGTTTGCTGGTTGTTGATGCTACGTTTGCAGGTTGCTGCTGCTGCTGTGCGTTTGAGTTTGTGCGTGCGCGCGTGCGTGCGTGTGCGAGAGGTCACACCTGCGCGAAGGTCATGACGGGCAGCCGCCGAAGCACCGAGTCGACCTCGCACGTCTGCGCGCGCTTCTCGTGCATCAGCGCAAAGGTGCAGAGGTGCACGATAGCGCAGACCGCAAAGGCGGCGAGGGCAGACTCGAGGGCGACGCAGGCGCGCTCGAGCGGGTCGAAGCGGCGCTGGAGGTGCAGGACCGCCCAGAGCAGCGGGCCGCGCCCGATCAGAGGCCCGCCTTGAAGGCGCTGGTCGGAGAGGTCAATGACTTGCCCGCTCGGCAGCATGATTGCCGTGTCCTCCCGCACAAACGTGATGTTGATGGGGTTGCGCTGCCAGCAGGTGGTTTGGGAGCGGTGGTGGAGGAAGGAGAGGTGCAAGCCGAGCCAGACGGGGTCGACGAGGCACAGAACCGCCGCAGAGCACACCGCCGCCGGCGGCGACATGACCGGGAGCGCCGCGCTCATTGCTGTCGACGCCGCGAGCAGGCTGAGGCTGATGGTGTGGTACGACCACGCGGCGGGCGGCGTCAGCTGCTCGACGCCCCACCCCTCCTTCTCCGCCTCCTCCGGGTAGGCGTGCAGCTCGGTGAACGGGCTCGACAGCTCTCCGCCAGCGGCGGCGTCGACGGATGCCGGCGGCCCAAAGCAAGGGAAGGCGCCCGTCCGCGGATCGACGAGAGTCGAGAGCGTCGCCGAGATGGTGGAAAGTAGCGCCGTCGTGGAGACGAGGAGAACCACAGTGCCGTGCTGGCTTCCTCGCATAGCTGGCGGCCGGGTCGATCCTGGCCGGCAAGCTCGGCCTCGGCTTCAGCGGCTCCTCGGAGCCGCGCCTGGCAGTCGTCCAGTCGCAGCTCTGTTCGCCGCCCCTTGGGGACCCGCCGTGTGCGCGGGTGGGCGACTGCGCGGCTGGCGGGGTGGGTAGAGAGAGAGATTTTTAGCAATACCAAACAACTCTAACACTCACACGTCATTTGGGGCCTGGAGCCCTGTTCACGCGCGCGCGAGACGTGCAGACAGGGTTGCCAGGCAGGTGAGAGCGAATGGCGCGGTCGGTTCATTCACGCCTCGCACAACAGAGAGAGAGATGCGCTCTGCATGGTGGGACATAAAAGAGAGCGAGTACTTGGGCGAGTAGGCCGTGCGGTCGACGCTGCCGCGCGCGACCTTGCGCGCGAGGCGGCGCAGCTTGAGAACGGCGGTGGGCGAGAAGCCGCCACCGAACGTCTCCGTGGAGCAGCAGGTTGAAGTTGTTGCGCTTGACAAAGATCGCGTCGTGGTAGAAACCGCGATGCGCCTTGACGTAGCCGAGCGTGGCCGTTCTTGTGGGAGAAGGGTTGGCCGGGCTGCCCGCGCGCGCCTTGCAACCCATGTTTAGGCGGCGGGCCTTCTCTCCTCGGTGTTGCCGAAGGCGTAGGAGTGGCCCACGGACTGCCCATGGAGGCGGGCGTGCCAGGCGTTGCCAGCGCCCGTCGAGGAGGTCTTGAGGAGGGGCGTGCCGTCCAGAGCTTGATTTCATTCACTTCATCGCATCCTCCCGACCCAGCGTGGGGTTCTGCGAGGTAGTACTGCCGGGTGAGCTCTGGTTTCTCCTTGTCGCCGTGCACGACCGGCGCGTTGGCCGGGGCGCGCATCGCGTCCGCCCAGGCGGCGAGGACGCCGTCGTGGGGCCGCCGGTGGTGAAGAGCCGTACTCCCCGCACACCGAGAGGTGGTGGAGCAAGGTGGGGCCAACCCTCGTACGGCTCTACCATCCCCATTCAGAGATCAGGACTGGAGCCCCCACTGGTCAAACGCAGAACGCACACCAAGTGGCACACACGCGTGAGCACAACCTGCCAATGCAATGCGATGGGATTTAGGGCGATGCATGCACAACTGTACATGTACATGTTTGTTGTTGTTGTGCATGTGCATGTGCATGTGCATGTGCATGTGCGTGTGCATGTGCATGTGCATGTGCATGTGCATGTCGCGACGCGCAGGGCTCACTAGAGGCAGAGCTCACGCGCAGCCCCGCATGAACGGGCTCCACCTCTCGCTTTCGCGCCAAACCCAACCAAAGGCGGCGGCTGTGACGGCGACGGCGGCGGCGACGTCGATCGAGCGAGGAGAGCGGCGCGACCACCTGTTTCGTGAGACGAGCGAGGCAACAGATAAGCAACGGAGGGGGAGGTGGGGGGGGGTGGGGGGGTCACACAGAGGAGGGGCTCAGCGGCTGCCCTCCCTTGTTCTTTCTGCGCCGGATTTCAGAGTCCTGAAAGGAGTTCGCGCGCATTTGCAGCAATTTGATCGGCTCCTCGCCTCTGCCTACCACCGTCACCAGCGACGATGCAGATGTCTCGCGTAGTGACACTGGTTGGCCTTGTGCTCGCCACGGCTGTGCCAGTTCCCACGGCCGTGCCGGTTCCCATGGCCGAGAGCCACAACCTCGAGATCGAGCACGGCCGCGCTGCGCCAGCAGCAGGCAACTCGTTCAGAGTGTACAACATCAAGCCCCACTACCAATGTAAGCCGGACGGTCCCGGTCCGCACACCCCGGGATGTGCGGACAAGATCAAGCCTGCGATGAAGTGGGCGATTGAGACCGGCGCAGAGATTCTCGTGATGAACGAGGTGGAGGCGCCCAAGGTGCCCAAGCCGGACCCCGCTCATTTCGAGGGCGTCGGCTTCGTGTGCGTCTGCGGTTCGTTTGCGGACCCAGTTGTCGCCTTCATCAACAAAAATACTTTCACGATCGATAACAGCATCCTTGCAGACAACGCTTACACTGACGGCAACCTTCCTTACTTTGACAACATCAACCCCAACGACGTGTCAAAGAACTCGTGCTCGGTTCCATGCAGACCTCACGACACCCGCCCGGGCGGCATGATCCCCCTCACGCACAGGCTCACTGGAAAGAAGTTTTGCCTGGCCATCGGTTAGCGCCGCCGCGGCGCGTCCCCTGGCCCGCGCATGTAGCTGAGTGGCCCTCTGCCTGTTGCCTTGCAGGTACGTTCTCGCACAACTTTGACAATGACCCGCAAGGTGTCGACACCAGCGCCTGCCCAGATGACGGGGAGATCCTGTACGTCGTTGACTCGAATATCAACGGTTCCGGTCAAACGATCTCGATGAAGAAGGCCAAGCAGCTCACAAATCCTGCAAGAAAGTGCGACGCGGATCCCTTCATGAACATCGAGACTGACAACGGCTACTTTTACGACCGCATCGCAATGTGCGGCGGCGGCACCGTTACGAATCCGAGCCGAAACGCGACCCAGCACTGGCCGGAAGGACACGTGATGATCTCTGCTGACGTCACACTGTGAGGCGAACCCCGCTCCCCGGCATGGGAAGTCGCCAGGGTGACACAGCGGGCTCGATGCGAGAACAGCGATGTGTTAATTGCAGATTTTGTTGCCGATTAGTAGATGTAGATGGAAAGCCGAGCGCTTCGAAGTGCGTGCAAAATGTTTAAAATGTACAATGTTGTTGATTGAAATCGGATGCTCTAACTCGAGGGTCGCGAGGGGCTGTGCCATGGCTGTACGTGTGGGGCTCTTCGCGCACACAGACCTTGTTTTCGGGACGTATTTCTTCTCAATAACAAGGCTGTGAACTGAGGCCATCGGGACGCTGCACTCAGCCCGACGTGTGTGCACAACACATCCGGTACGGTGAATGTGACGTAGCGCAAGCCTGAAGCGCCCGCAGCGCAAGCCTGAATACCTGGCGATGCACGAAGCAGGCCCTCACCTGCAGCCTCGCCCTCATCGCACGCTGCTCTACGTGCTCTCCGTTGACGCGCCTCTGCACCACCGCTACCGCTGCATGCAGCGCACAACCCTCGCCGCGCTCGGCCTACAGCGTGGCTTCCTGCAAGTGGACATGCTGCGATCGATCCGGCTCTGGTACGTCTTCGACAGAGCCGCGCCGACGAGCGACGACCTACGCCTGGAGCAGCGGCGTGGCGACGTACTGCGCCTCGATGCAGGCGCCACTTGCCTTGGCAAGGTCATCGCCGCCATTCAGCACGCAGCCACGCGGCGGTTCGAGGCGATGGTGCTCTCGGACGATGACGCGTTCATACATCCACAGCGGTTGGCTCTTGATATTGCCGAGTGGGGCTGGAATCCCAACCTTGTATACGGCATTCTGCGTGGGCGGCCGGGTGGGACGAGCGCCGGATGCAGCACTATGGCTATGGCAACACGCCAGACGTGGTCGTCGGTCGGCTCATGCAGGAATGGCAATTGCGGCGCACCGTGGACGCGCCGGCGACGCGGCAGGGCCCGTTTGCCTTTCCCCTCGGCTTTTGTATGGGCCTCGGCAGCGCGATTGTCGCCGCGATCGTCGCTCAGCTCACGACCGAGCCGCGGCTGATTCGGCTGCAGAAATTCCTCGGCGCGTCGCGCGCCGCACGCAAATGCATGCCTGCGACCGACGGTGGGCTGGGGTACATCCTCGCGTCGCTTGGCCCGGCCACGCCGATTGCATACGTGGACATCTCCTCGACTGCACGCGTCCACTTTTGGCGCTCGCGGAGCTCGGAGAAGTTCCTGCGTGCTGGCAACCTCGCCATAATGCACGGCGCGAAGGATTGGGCAGACCACTTTGCATGGGCGGCTTGCGTGGTGAGGGAGCTGCCAAGCGGTATGCTTGAGCGCTCGAGGGGGCTCACGTGCACTGCCAACAATGTCGGCCTCGATTTTGAATGCCGACGCACCGAGGACACGTGGCGAGCGTGCGCTCAGGCGGGGCTGCTCGCGCGCGCGGCCGGGTCGGCGGACAGGGCGGCCGCCCGGGTGGGGGTGGCGGGCTCTCCGCATCCGGCACAAGGCCCTCGCCAGAAAGCCCATCGCGAGGTCGCGACGCGGAACGCGAGCGTGGTCTGGTGCATGGTGTCGATGTCGGCGTCGGACGAGCGAGCGCGGCCAAATGTCGTGCCGGGCGGGGTCGCGTACACGCGCAGCGTGTGCAACAACGCATCCGAGCCTACCCAGTGCGCAGCAGAGAAGGCAGAACCGCACTAGTAAAAGTGTCCAAACCTCGCCAGAGGACACTGAGGACCAGAACCATCAGCATCACGTGAAAAATCTTAATTCTTAATTTTGGCAGTCGTGATACCCATGAACCATGATGAAAAAGTCATGGCTTGTTCTATATACCTAGCTGACTCGCCAGCGTGACAAAATGTAAAACGTTCATTTGCACTTTGTCACGGATTGGGGAACACGCAAACTCGTCCACCGACCACCGTGCCGTGCCCCGGAGCACACCGGACAAGCTCTCATGGCACGGCCGGCATCCCGGCCCATGCCATGAGGCACTTGGACTCACTCTGCATCCTCAAAGTTGCACCGAATTCTTGTTCCCCAACCGAATTCTTGTGATAATTCGATGGCAGCCGTCCGCCTCCCCCGCCACACGCACAAATGGCTGCGCGCTTGTCGCCCCCGGCCTCGCGGGACGGCTGCCATCGGCTGCCATCGAATTACCACCAGCCATGGCTCTGGAGGATGGCATCTCTATGACGCAGCCATAGTAGATGGCTGAAATGGCTGAAATTGCTGTCCCCCAGCCATCTTTCCCAAGATGGCTACGATGTAGCCAGCTCAGCCAAGAGGGCTCACCTCGAGGCGGGAATGTGGCTGCGGTAGTGAGTCTCCAGCCATGTCTACTAAGGATGGCTGCCGTGTGTGCGTTGCAGCCATCGGGCTGGAGGCTATGGCTGCACTGCAGCTAGCTCAGCCATCCTTAGGTAAGATGGCTGTGGACGGACGGAAAACACCCCCCCCTTTTTTATGCCTGACCCTGGACATGCCTCTCTGGGGGTGAGCTGGGCCGGCCGCCTCCGGGTCCGCAACTCGCACGGTGGGCTCGCGTCCAGGCGAGCATCCGTGGCCCGCGGTTGTCCTCTCGCTGGGCGCGACCGACATGGAGATCCACTGCACACAGATCTGTGCTTTTGGCGCCTATTGCTCGCTCTCTGTGCAATCGCAACGCCAGCGGCCGTGCTTGGAGAGTGTGTCGCGGTGCTGCTGCGTCAGTGGATTGAGCCGCGACGCAGGCTCCATCGGTGAGCTGCGGCGGCGCACCGGCCGCTCCATGCATAGCTCCGGCGAGCCGTCGCAAACGCGCTTTTCCGTCCGCCCGTTTCATCGAGTTTGCCCGAGCGGTAAAATGCAATCGAATCTGCCCGAATGGTCAAGTAAAACTTTGCCTTTCGTAAAAGTTGCCCGAGTGGTCTGTGGGGAAAAAACCAAAATCGAGACGGAATTCATGAACGGCCTGGCAATATGTCTTCCTTACTATTATTAATTGATGCTTTTTGCACGGCTGAGCCCCCCCCCCCCCCCCCTCCCCCGCGCCCATTCCCTGCCCTCTCCCGCCTCGCACTCCGTCAGAGCCCCCTCCCCTCCTGCACGACAGGAATTTTGACAATTAACCAGAAGATCCCCAGCGCTGCTGCTCTTCGACAAATACGAGGGCAAGGTGGGCATCGCCGCGGGGAGGTCGCGCGGCGGTGGGGCGGCTGAAGTACGTGGACAACAGTCTCACCTGCTAGGGATGGGGGCTCACCACGTGGTCAGCCAGATCAATGTGGCCGCTTACAGCCTCGCGGCTGGCGGAAGGTTGGTGCACTGCTGGGATTGGCCACCAAGCGTGGAGACAGCAGTGGCATCCTTTGAGTCCCCTTTGCCGCGATGGTCATTGGACGGCCGCGCCTCGTCTTCTGGCGCGGGCCTTTCTGGGTTTCTCCCGATGTGCTCAGCACGTTGCTCCGCCGATGCCGCACGCCAGCGGCACTCGGCGCTATGAGACGTGTCATCCCAGGGCCGCGTATACAGCTGTATGGCGGTACATGCTTCAGGCCGGCACCCAGCAGGACGTCGGATTATTGCCTCGCACGCGGGCCAAGGGCATGATGCTACGGGTCCCCAACCAATATTGGATCCGGCAGCGTGCGGGGGACGACGTGCGGGCGGCTGAACATCTTGCTCGAGCTCTACTTTGACGAAAATGACTTGATGGGCTTGCCCATCCCGGAGTGGTTCGACCCCACATAAATCCGAGACGGTGACGGGATGCTGTCGTACGGTGGTCTCAGGCCCAGTGAGGTAGTGCATCTGACTATCCCGGATCCTGCTGAACAAGCTCCTCTTGTAGCTCGATCGGTCACACCGCCATCGCCGCCGGGGAGAGGGGGGACGACACTGCTTCGGCAGCGTGCACCTCGATCCTGCACCGTGTTTGTTATGACCCCCCCCAATGAACACTCCAGTGAGGGTGGGCGAGACGATCGAGGGGTCCCGTACCATGCGGAATCGACCCTATCCAGTGCTCAAGTGCTCAAGATGGCTGTGAAGGAGCACTTGGAGGAGCCAGCACAGCTTTCTGTGTCATTTCCGAGGTTAGCCTCGCGCCGCGCCTCCGCCTTGAGGTTACCGCTGGCGACTGGCAGCCCTGGGCGTGCTCATGCCGAACGCCACGCAGCACCGCGGCTTCTGTGCGCTCGTCACGGAGACACCAGCTCCACTTGGTGCGTGCGAGAGCCGCAGCGAGGGCATCCTCACGCTGCCCAAGCAGCCCCGTGCGATGGCGTCCCGGTTGGCTCGGCATCTTGCGCTGTCAAAGCTCAGGATGCACCGCGCCGGTCGCCGTGTGCTGGAAGACGGAGGGTGCGACGACCAATGCACGCAGCGCGCACTCCGGCAGCAGTCGGCGACCGAGGCGTGTGTGGCGGCGTGCGAGGCCTGCTCGCGGTGCCGATACATCAGCGTCTCGGCGGAAGCCAACGTCTGTGCCTGGTACTCGGACTGCGACGTGGGCGACCTCCGCAGCTGGTGGGGCCCACGGCGGGTTGGCGCAGAGTGGACGACGGTCCAGGTGCGCGAGAGCATTCCGCCTCCCGCAGCGCGCCGCTGGAGCGCCCCTCCTCCGGCTGAGGCGAGCCGCGCCTCCAATGGCTCGGCGCTGCGCCTCGCAATCGCCACGCTGTCGTACCCGTCTCCACGATCCCTACCAGCGCCACAGGAGCACTGCGCCTTCCGCCTCTGGTGCCAGGGCGCGCGCAGGCTGCAGCAGGCCCTGTCGGGCCCGTGGGTGGTGTCGGTGCTGATCCTCTGGCTGCCTGTCCGTGGGAGGGACGGCCTGAGCCTCCCTCCGCCGCGGCCGGCCGCCTTTTGCAGCTTCGCACAGGTCATCGAGCCCGACCAGAGGTTGCTGCAGGCCGCGCGTAGCTGCCTAGCGCAGCAGCGGAGGCGTCGCTATCAGACGGGGATGCCGCCAGAGGTGTTGCTCAAGTGGCAGTTTGTCGGCATGACAGAGTACGACGCGGTCCTCTTTGTGGACCAGGACGTGGACCTGATGCCGGTCGAGATTTGCGAGGTGGAGCTGCGCACCCGCTGGCGGGCGATGCTCCCCTTCGTGCTGCAGTTCGGGTCGCCCGCGACCCGGCGCGGCGCGCTGCCGCCGCAGGTTTACCACATTGACGGCGCCAGGGCGCCCCGGGCGGGGCTCAAGTTCATCGGCGCCTCGGACGGCTCCTCGCCCGTCAACACGGGGCTCATGCTGCTGCTCCCCTCGCTGCGCCTCTACCGCGAGGGGCTGCGCGTGCTCGCCAGCTGCCCGCTCAACGTATCGCACGGGTGGGGGCTCGTCGGGCCGCCGCGCGCCCTGCTCGAGGCGCCGCGCTACCTGAAGCAGCGCTACGTCTCGCCCGCGGCCGGCGGGGCGACGACCTTGCGGCCGCGGGTCAACGAGGCCTACTTCTGGTTCACCCACATCAACACCACCGGCGCCATGACCAACAACTGGTGGCGGTACGTCGCCGCCGCCGAGGATCAGGGCTTCTTCTGGTACATGATGTTCCTCCGCCACGACTTTGGCGCCTACTTCAACCCCGACGCCTCGCAGCTGCCCGGCAACGGCCCGCGCCGCAAGCAGCCGGCGCACTGGGTCTTCCACTACTTTGGCACCGTGGCGGGCGCCAAGGCGTGGAACGGGCGGCTCTGGGACTCGGAGGAGCACCGAAAGGGGCAAGCGAGCCCGAGGCTGGGCTACAACCTCCACTACCTCTCGAGGGTACGGCCGCACCTGCCTAGCGAGAGCGCGGCGTGCGACGGCGAGATGGCGGGGCTGAGGAGGTCGGCCGAGGCCCACCCGCTCGCCAGAGGCGTGCTCCCGGACCGCCGCGGCCACACAAGGAGGAAGCCGCCGCGGTTCGCCATTTGGTGAGAGTCTTATTTGGACGATTCTCTTGCAACTTGCTACTTGTCTTGGAGCACTTTGGAGTGCGGTCACTAGCCTCGCACATCCAGGGCGGCTCTGGCGAGGGAACAGCTGACGCACTTGCAGAACTCGTAACGAGGAAATTCTTTTGCCAGCGCCAAGAAAGAAAGAATGAAAGAATTGCCAGCGCCAGTCCCGTGCCTCGGGGTAAAATTCTTTTGCCACTCCAAAATGCGGCGGACGCCGGACGGTGTGCTTTGAGCTGCAGGCAAGTCCGCTACAACCCAGGCAAGTCCGCTACAACCCAGCGCCGATGGCGCTGCCGATCCTGACAGCGGCAGCGGCGGCAACAATCACGGAGTGCGTGGAGAAGTACGACGTGCCGCTCGTCGTGGTGACGGAAAACACACGCGGCCGCTCTGACGATCAGTGCGACCCAAGCTATTGCTGGACGAATGTCACAACAGCGGTGCCGTCACTGCCAGCGGGCACGCCTCATCTGACCTTCGAGACCGACATCGATCAGCTGTGCAAGAACGAGAGGACGAGGGGCGTAATCACCATCGGCGCGCCAGCGTCGCTTCAGCCCGAAGACCAGTTCTATACGAGCTCGCTTAAGATGCAGAGGAGCTGCGACCTCTTCTCGCGGATGCTGGTGCCCCGCGGCGGGATCAAAGTCAACGCGACGCACGTCTACGGCGTACATTGCGTCTTCCTCGGAGACAGCAGTAGCCAGCTGCAGGTCGCCAACGCCACCTCGCGCCTCGTGCACCCGGAGTCGGGCGGTTTCGCGTCGGCAGACTTCCTGCTCGGCCCGTATGGCTCGGGGCTGACCACCTACGCGAGCAAGCAGGCGGTGCTGGACAGCAAGCTGATGATCGCTCCAGCGTCATCTGATCCCGCCGTCTACTCTTCGGCCGCCGCGCTGGCGCAAGAGAATGGCCTCGGGCTGCGCGTGTTTGGGATGCTGCCCCGCAGCAGTATGAGGCGTTGCTCTGGCCAGAGACGCAGCCGGGACGCAGCCGAGATGCAGCCGAGATACAGCCGAGGTATCGTCGTACAGGCGCGAGTTCGAGGCGCTGCTGAAGGCTGCCGAGGACTGCGACACTGGCTGCGATGCTGGCGGGGAGTGCGACTGCCAGAAGGAGTGCGTGCGCCGCGCCGGCGAACCTTCCGAGACCTGCTTGGGCGCCCTCCGAGTCGGGTTCGCAGAGAAGGGAGGCGGCGACGCCTCGCGGCCCTTTCCATGAAACTTTCCGCGACGTGTGTCCCGCAGGTACGTCGAGGAGGACGACACTGCCTTTCGGGGGGTCTGCGGCAGCGAAGAAGAGTGGGAGGACGCCAAGGCGCGGATCCTGACGGCTCCTGCGGACGCGGCCGGCTCCGGCATCGTAGCGAACGCGACGGTTCCAAAGTGGAGCAGCGTCAACACATCGACGTACAGGCAGGAGATGCGGAGGGCGCTGGCGCATCTGCGGGACGAGCGCGCCACCGTCGTCCTCGTCTGCTCGTACGAGGCCGGCGGCATCGTCGCGGTGGAGGAGGAGGAGGGGCGGCTCGGCCTCGGAGATTGCGCGAGATCACGCGAGATGCGTCGAGGCTGTAGGTGGAGGAGCTGGAGCGACTCGGCCTGGAGGAGGAGGAGGAGGCCTACTCGCCGCTCGCCACTTTCCTGACAAACACGATCCTCAACGACGAATACGTCCGCAAGATGAGGGGCGGCTGGTGGCAGGGCGAGTACGCACTCGAGGCAGCCTCTCTCTCTCTCGCACACGCACACCACGCACACGCACACGCACACCGCTCACACTGCTCTCACCGGCGCGTGGAGCCCACTAGCCCTCGCTCCCCGGCTCTGCAGGCGGTGCCGTGGGTCGCGTCGATGCCGAGCGACATTGGCAATTTCTCCGGTTGGGACAGCGCGAAATACGAGGAGGAGTACTTGAAGGCGTTCGGCGGCCGCACAGTGTACCCGGCCAAGGTCGACTCTGACGGGGCGGGGACCTTCGCGGCGCTCCGCACGCTGGGCGACGCCATCGAGCAACAACGGCATTGTGGTGAGGATGACAACGACACGTCAATGATAGGCGCTCTGCACCTTGGGCGACGCCATCGAGCGGGCGGGCTCGCTCGAGACGGCCGCCGTGGCGAGCGCGCTCCGCAGCACGTCGCTCGTCGAGTTCTTCACCAGCAACATCTCCTTCAACGCCGACGGGCAGATGGAGGGGATGGACTTCCCTGTCGTGCAGTACCCGCCCGGCGCGGCGGCGGCCGGGCAGGCTGACTACGAGGTGTTGTAGCACCGCCCATCGCCCGACATACCACCCCCTCGTTGACGCCTCGTTTTCCTCTAGGTTGTCTTCGACGCAAAGGAGAGAGAGAACGTCTCCTTCCCAACGCCGCCGTGGAAGCTGCGCTACTGCCTGAACGAGGGGAACTGCTCGGGCAACGGCAAATGCCGCTTCGACGGCGGTTGCGACTGCCTTCCGGGGTTTAGCGGCGCCCTGTGCCAGGACGCGACCAGTCCAACCAGTTCAAACCGGTGCGGGGCTGCCCCCTTGCTTGCGCGCGGCGGTACTCGGCGTCTCTTCACGGCTGGAGGCGTGAACAGGGGGGTGGTTACACTCATCGCGGCGCTCGCGTCGGGGCTCATTGCGCTCTGCCTCTGCGGCGGACTCTGTTACCTCCGGCTGCAGCGGCGGCGGAGGCATCTCAAGGGCATTATCAGGCCTGCAGCGGCACTTGCCTGCAATCGGCCCCCCCCCCCCAGACTCTGCTCGAGCTGCCCTCCGAGCCTCCTCCGAGCCCTGACGGCCTCGTGACTGCACCGCTCGGCTGCAGGGACGCGGAGCGCGACTTTGCACGCTGGGAGCCGCCGGCTGGGCCGAGGAGAGGGTGCTGCGCCGCCCCGCCGTTAGGGACCAGCCGAGATCAGCCGGGATGGGAAGAGGCTGTAGGAAGGGGTCGCTGCACCGCTCCGTCACCCTCGCGCTCATGTCTCGCTCCAAGCGGGGCACGCCGCCTTGGGAGCTGGCAAAGGCACACGAGGTGCGGCCCCGCGATGGCTGAGACCGAGAGCATATCTCCTCCATATCTCCCTCATATCTCGTCCTAGAAACACGAGGGTGCGGCGCCCCGCGACGGCTGGCTAGACCTCTCGGCGGCCTCTCGTGCGGATCTCGGCCTGTGCCTCCTCGCGTGTAGGACGAGATATGAGGGAGATGTGGGGGAGATATGATCTCGGCCTGTGCCCTCGCGTGTAGGCGCGGCGCCCCTGCCGTGATGGGGGGGTCCGACATTTCGGACGACTGCCAGATCACCCGAGATCTACCCCAGATCACCCGAGATCTACCCCCGATCACCCGGGTGTAGGCGCGGGTCATCTCTGCTATGGGGCTGCCGGATGGGCGGTGCTCACCAGCTGCCTCTCGCTCGGCCACGCCCCAGCGCGTCACAGACTGACCGCGGTGCACAGGTACCACGTCTCCCTCTCCCGTGAACAGCGTCTCTTCACTCCTCTAGCTGTGAACAGGTGCACAGGTACCACGTCTTCCTCTCCCACGTGTGGTCGAGCGGGCAGGACCAGGCAAAGGCGCTCAAGGGGCAGCTGCAGCGGTGCGACCCACCGCCTCCTCCGCCCTCCCCCACCACTGTCTCCACATCCGCACGCCCGTCAACACCGCCGCCTCCACTCTGCCCGCACCCCTGCCTCTACGCCCGCACCGCCGCCGCTCCTCGGCACGACCGCCGGCCGCTGACACGGCCGCAGACACGTCCTCCTGACACGTGCTCGCCGCGTCCCCAAGTTACGTACAAAACATCTCGCCCTTCTTGGACGTGGACAACTTGGACGACACCGCGCGGCTGGAGGAGCACGTGGGCAACTCGGAGGCCGTGATCGTGCTGCTGACGGGCTCGACCGCCGTCGCCGACGGCGCACCCGCCTCCGACTACATGCGCTCCCTCCCGTGAACAGCGTCTCTTCACACCTCTAGCTGTGAACAGGTGCACCCGCCTCCGACTACATGCGCTCCCGCAACTGCTTGCGCGAGCTGCGCGCCGCGGTTCGGCAGAGAGGCCGCTCGCGCTGAGAAGAGCGCGGAGCGCCGAGAACAGAGGGTTTGTGGATAGGTTGAGCGGAAGAAGCCGCTGATTCTGCTGCTGGAGACGGACCCGTCGCACGGCGGAGTGCCGCTCGACGTCCCACCGTGGAGAGTGCTCCGACGAGCTGTGAACAGCGCCTCTTCACACCTCCAGCTGTGAACAGGTCCACCGCGCCGAGTGCCCCGATGAGCTGCGCGAGTATGTCTTCGCGGCGCCGCTGGTGACGTGGCACCGGCTGCGCCCCTTCCAGATGTGCTCGATGAGGCTGCTGATCGTCGAGCTGCTTCGCGCGTGGAAGGCGGCCGGCGCAGACCAGCCCATCTTCCTGCCGGGCGACCTCCTCCGCTCGCCGCCGCCGCCGCTCGCCACCCGGAAGGAGTTTCACGTGTACTACTCCGCCAGCAACGCCGGCGCGGCTGAGGTGGCAGAGAGCATCGGCGAGGCGAGCCGGCGCGACCCTCGAGGATCGCTGTGGGTGTGAACCGCGTCTCTCCACACCTCCATCTGTGAGCAGGCGAGCGACGGGCGGCTGCGCAGCACGGACGACCCCGCGCAGGCTCTCGCACCCGGGAGCCGAGATTCAGACGAGATTGGTCGAGATTCGGTCGAGATGTCCGACGGGGTTCAACCGATATTGAGATTGCAGCCGAGATTCGAGCAGCAGCGCACACGACCCCGCGCAGGCGCGCTCCACGTGCGCTTTCTTGCTCTACCTGAACAGCTCCACCTTTGCTCCGGGAGCCCAGGCGGAGGCGCTCGGCTGCGAGGTGCACAGAGGCACACCAGGGGTCGCCAGGGGAACGGCGTCTCTTCACGCCGTTGTGCCGTGGGCAGGTGCGCGAGGCGCTGGAGGGCGGCCGGCCGCTCGTGCTGGTGCACGAGCGGCGCGACGGCGACGTGGGCGTCGCCACTTTCGACGACATCATCGCGGCGACGCCAGCTGCGCTGCGAGACGCCGGCATCTACCGCCCGATCGCGACTCCGCTGCATGGTGGCCCGCACGCGGAGGTCTCGCTGCGGCTGGTGCTCGGCCAGATCGACGCGTTGTGTGGCCCAAGGAGGGGCGGCCTACTCAGCGACGCGCTCAACCTGACCGAAAACCTGACGGGGATCGACTTGGACGGCGACGGCCGCGTCGGCTCTGAGCGGTCGGCGTCTCCGCAGACCGTTCCCTGACTCACCATGAATCTCTCCATCTCCATGTGTCCATGTCATGTGAAAGTGGGTGTCCTCTTGTCGCGCCGTACTAGTGTCGAGAGAGCGGTACCGAGTTGTTCTCGAGAGGTTCTCGAAGGGTTGATGTCTTTTTTCTTGGCCGCGTTGGGGCCGGTTGGGGTTGCACGCGAGCCGCCGGACCCGGAGAGCGGAGTTGCCGTTGCGCACGTTGGATACAGGGTAGAGTACCACGCGGCTTTACTGTAGCCCTGACGCCTGAGGGGTGAGGGACGAGGCCGAGAGCGAGACCCTTTGCGCCCAGCCAGGGGTACGGCGCACTCCTCCCCGTTGTACACTGTAGTCGGCCCCGTGAACCTTCATGGGACGCTGTGAGAGCCCCTGAGCTGTGGAGGCCCTGTGTGTGTGTCTCAGAAAAAATACCCGGAGCGCGCGCGTCGCTATGTCGCCCTATCCCACACAGGCACGTGCGCCAACTGCACCAACCACGGTGTGCTCAAGTATGCGCGCCGCACCATGTGTACCCGCTACAAATGCCAGAAGGCGGCCACGGCGGAGCGCGTGGCGCGCCTCGCCGACGGCGGAGGAGACGACGCGGTCGTGCCGACATACTCGTTCGAGATCAAGGAGGTGATTGGCATGCGCTTCGCCGACCCTGAGCGGCTCGTCGGGAAGAAGCGGCGCAATGAGCTGGCCGCGGCGGAGACGTCGCTGTGCTACCTCACCCGCGGCAAGTTTGGAGAGGACCAGAATGACGACGGCTTCATTGATACGCGCTGGGTCGAGCTCGAGGAGCTGTACGTGACAACTGCGGCAAGCAGAACCTGAACCGGGCACTCAAGGCGTACCGCACGGCGGAGAAAGGCGGCGGACGAAGCCATTGTCGGCTTTGAAGAGGATGACGAATAGGAGGCGGCATAATCGTGTGGTGAGTGCTTTGAGAGGGTGGCTGTCCCGTATAGGCGGGCCTAGTGGCCGGTGTTCTGAACGTTCAAAGAACGCATTCCGAGCCTTGCCATTCTGATCATTCCCCTTACCTTGCCAACTCAGGCCTTGTGCGTCGTTCACGTACGGACCCGCCTCGGTATGGCTAACCTGTTGGCGAGCGGTGCCTCTTGGCGCTGCGACGGCGACTGCCAGGAACGTGCAGAACACGCTCGCAAGCACTTGGAGAGCAAGCGATTTCTTTTCGTTGTTCTTTTGTTTCGTCGCTGGCTGGTGGTGGCTGGGCTTAATTTGAGGGGTCACAGCCCCCCCCCCCCCCCCACGCTTTCTTTTCCTTGTTCTTTGTGTCTTGTGAGCTTTGTTTGTGTCTGTGTGTTGCTCGTGCGTGTTCGTCATCATCTGTCCCGCGTCCACCCATACCGCGCTGGTGTCCAGTCCGAGCCTGACTGTTCTTCACCTTTCTACCTAACGCCGCGAGTCGGTATGTTAGCTCAGCACCGTCTCTCAGAGACGGCGTGCACTCCCTATGTGGCGCTGACCGCTGTGCACGCGCGTCGCACCGCGCTCGCGTTTCGTCTTTCGACTTTCGTTTCGGTGAAAATATCATGATTCCTCCGGGCACTCTGAGGAGCATAGCCATACCGGTGTACCGGTGCCGGTTACCGCCTCTGCCGGTGGGCTTCGGCGTGGCCTTTCCGCCGGCTGGTCTGCTAATTATTGACAATGGCCTCGAAGTCTGAAATGACTTCCGGAAGCACTGCGGTAGCTCCCTCCAACTCACCCGAGAAGAGCGCGACTGAGGGAGGCGAAAGCAGCCTCTCCGCGGAAATTGACCGCTCCCGCTACGTATGTTGAGCGGTGTTGCACTGACTTGGCTCCGCTCGAACGTGTTTGGTCGGTGTTTTTCTGAGCAAGAGTCCGCTCTGAAGGTTGCAGAGCGGAGTCTTGTTAGGCAAAACGCTGCTCTGTGTTGTGTAGAGTGGGGTTTAAGCTTGAAGAACGCTGCTCTAGCACCCGCGAGCGGGGTTGCTGAGATAGAACACGGCTCTGAGATGTGAGAGTGGAGCACTTGGAGCACTTGGAGTGCAGTCATTAACCGCACATCCAGGGCCAGGGAGCTCAGAAGCGCACCCAGCGGGCCGGATGATTGGCATCGGGTTACGGGCTAGAGAGCCCTAGCCCCGGGGGTGCGCGTTCGCAGGGCAAGGGCCTTAAAGTAAACACGGGTCTCCGAGGGTTGGCCCCGCGTACCGGGTTTCCCCTTAACTGCAGGACGCCCCCTCTACTCGGAGCTAATGAACACCACACTGCACGCCTCACACGTCACACCCCCACTCCACACTCACTCGCGCAGGCACTTGAGTAAACCCCCCGCATGAGGGCTCACCCCCCGTCCTCCCAGGGTTCCGACCCCCCTTGATTCGTTCTCTTGCTCGTCTCACGAGCGTCATGCGACGGCCGGTGTGGCCGTTTCCCTCGTTGTTGGTGTCGCTTCCTCCGCTCGCTGCCGCCCTTCATCTCCGCCAGCTTCTCCCGGCTCCACCGCTTTCGAGGGCGTCGACGGCCCGGCCGAGGTCTCCCCGGGCGGGGGCGGCGGCGTTGGGTCGTGTCGCCTCCCCTCCCAGGGGGGTCGAGCCCGCTCTCCCTGGTTGACGAGTCGCGCCCGCACCCGCGGCCTCGAGTCGCGCTGCGCGTTTTGCTTTTGGCCCTCAGCCGCCAGTGCGCGCCAGGCCCCAGGCAGCGCAAAGATTTTGCTCGGCGCTGGAGGCCGCAAGATGACGAGATGTACAACTGCGACGCTCAGCGCGTCTGCCACTCTGCTCATCCTGTCCACCGGCGTCGCCTCGCACGCCGTCCGGACGACTGCGCGCTCGCCAGGCGTGACAGCGGTGCGGGGAGCAGCGCTGCGACCGGCATATGCGCCTCCTTTGCAACGAGCGGCGCGGGTACCGTGTCCGCCGCGCATGGCGAGTGAGTCAGCTGGTGAGTCGCCGGTGGCGCGCGCGCGCGCGTGGTTTGGCAAGTGGATGAAGTTCGACCGCGCTTCGCTGAGCAAGCTCGGTGTCGACGCCTTCTTCACCTACGGACTCGTCTCGAACCTCAACGCTGGCGCGGCACGCCTTCCGAGACATCCACGACACTCCGAGCCCATGATACGAGCGTGCTACTCCCGAGACGCCCTCCGAGACGTTCCCGGGCGGGCTCCTCCGATGTGTACCCGAGTCTCTCCCCTCGCAGCTCTTCCTTCCCTCGCGCGGCAGGCGTGACGGTGTCGGTCGCCTGGTTCACCTTTTGCCAGTCAACGGGCCTCTCGCCGCTGGCGCCTGGGCAGTGGTCCAAGTTCCTCGCCGTGTACGCCGGCATTTACCTCACCTTCGGCACCATCACCCGCCCCTTCCGCATGGCCTTCTCCGTCGGCGTCACGCCGCTGTTTGGGCAAACACCGCCGCGAGATGCCGCCGAGATGCCGCCGAGTGCAGCCGAGGTTACGGCGGAGAGGGTTATCTCTTGGGGCCTCTCTCGGCTGCCTCTCGGCTGTCTCTCGGCTGCCTCTCGGCTGTCTCTCGGCGTTCTCTCGGCTGCCTCTCGGCTGTCTCTCGGCGTTCTCTCGGCTGCCTCTCGGCTGTCTCTCGGCTGTCTCTCGGCGTTCTCTCGGCTGCCTCTCGGCTGTCTCTCGGCGTTCTCTCGGCTGCCTCTCGGCTGCCTCTCGGCTGTCTCTCGGCTGCCTCTCGGCTGCCTCTCGGCGTTCTCTCGGCGTTCTCTCGGCGTTCTCCGTCGGCCGTCAGCTTCGGCGGCTCCTCGGCTGTACCTCGCAGGCGGGTCATCAAGCGTCTGCAGGCGTCCCTCCCCTTCGGCGAGACGCGGCCGAAGCTGAATCGCACGCTGGCCATCCTCCTCTTCTCCGTCTTTGGAAACACCTTCTGCACGCTCGCCCTCATCGCGGCCGGAGTGTGGGTGAGCTCTGCCGCTTCCTCGCGCCCGGCCAGGCGGCGCGAACGGCGCCTCGTCACGCGCGCCCCCTGTCGTGAACAGGTCGCTGGACTCCTCGCCGGGGTGCCTGCGTTGCCGCCGGGCGCTCGGGTACCCTTCTTCGGCCCGCCGGCCTGAGGCGGAGCTGCGGATCGGTTGGAGAGGCCGCTGTGGATTGCGGCTCTCCCTCTGCGCTACTAACACCTCTGCGCTGCGTCTTGCGGTACGTTCGCTGCGCGACTTGTATCTGCGCCAACGCGTAGCCGCAGAGGCTGGGCCGCGGGACTGTCGGCGAGTGGGTAGACCCTCGAGAGGCTGTCCCCCTGTACGCTGTAGCTCGAGCTTAGGACAGCGACAGGAGGAAATACATGTACACACGATCACGTATGTCGTTCTTTTCTCTGTGTGTGTGGGGCATACCAAAACCTAATACGTATTTATGTCCCGATGTATGCAATCGTGTCCGTCTCACATGCGCTCGCACATGGTTGTGGCACATGCCACATCCCCCGAGTTCTCCCCCTGCCCCTCATCAGACACACGCCCCGCCCCCCCCGCCCCCCCCCGGCAACCCCCTCCCACCCTTTCTATATGCTACACGCGTGTCATATCTCGCCCACGCCGCTTTTTGGCATCACGCAGCGGCGGAGACCCTGCTGCCGCGGCCGGGCGGCCCGCTGTCCTCAAAGACAATCAGGGTGGCCGTCTCGACCCAGCTGGACGTGGCTGCGTCGTACACGCGCGAGGCCGTCGGTCTCTCTGCGAGCAGCCGCACCTCGGCGGCGTCGACCCAGTCGTCCTTGCCCTTCTTCTTCTCCTTCTTCTTCTTCTTGGCGTCGCCCTCCTTTGGCTTCACGCGCCAGACGCGCGAGATCGACTGCGGCAGCAGCGCCCCGTCGCGCACTGAGAGGAAGCCCACCTGCTCGCCCGCGTCCTCAGCGTTGCCCACGTACCAGCAGTCCGCCGCGTGCCAGAGCATCACCTCACCGTTGCCCTCGAGTTCGTACGACGGGTGACCGTTGACCTCCTCGTCGCACTTGGAGAAGACTCCCATCCACGCGCTCGCGTCCTGCGCGCCCTTGGGCGCCTTGCCCACGAGGGCGACCCGCGCCGCCGCCCGCTTGAGCTCCTCGCTCAGAGCAGCGCCCGCGATGCAGCGCACGTCCGGCGCGTCGCACCAGCCCCCGCCGGCGGGTAGGTTGACGCGCCAAGCACGGGTCGCGGTCTCGGGAGCGAAGGCGTCGTCGGGGCAGCTGATGCCGCAGCCCTTTCTTCCGAGCTGCTTTGCGTCGCCCACCTTCCACCCGCCCGAATACCACATCATCACGCTTGGGTCCCCATCCTTCTCGTAGGATGGCATCCCGTTGATAAGATCGTGCCGCTTCACAAACACGCCAAGGCGAGAGCACTGTGCGCCGCCGGGCGTCGCGCCGACCAGAGCGACTCGCTCAGAACCACGGTTGAGCTCAGCCTGTAGCGCTGCACCGCCGCGGAAGCGGATGTACGAGCGTCTCAAGGTCTCCATGCTGGCTGCGGTCCGATGCGGGCGGCGGCAAGTCTCCCGACGCTCGCGTTCTGCTCGTGGACGGCCCGGCGCCTTCCTTGGCACGGGGTGTGTGTGTGGATGTGAGAATAGCTCCGCCGTTCAGAGAGAGACTATGGAAAGTTCACGTCATGACGGTTAGCCACTGTCACGACGGTTAGCCGCTGTCATGACAGCTGCCAGCTGTCATACAGCAAACGACAGCGACAGTGACACCTACCTGTCACCAGCTGTCACCCTAGGTGTTAGATATGTATCCAGTGTATCCAGAACTTGGGTGGATACACAGTGTATCTAGTGTATCTCAACTCTCGGAAGCTGCCTACACACGCGCCCTCTCCGGCTCTCGCTCGCTCATGCCTATCTACATGTACATGTGCATGTAGGGGAGAACCAAACTAAGCCATCACAAATGCAGCCGGCGCCGCCGCGGCGAGGGCCGTGGCGGCAGGCGCCGGCGCAGGTGCCGGCGCAGGCACAAGGGCCGTCGCGCCTGCGCCGCGCCGCGCGCGATCCGGGTTCGGGTTGAAGGGCATCGGCGACGGCGATCTCAGGCGAATGCCTCTTTCGGACACAGCAAAAAAAACGTGCTCGTCTTCGAAACCGGAGGCTGTGTATCTCACTGTGTATCCACTGTGTATCCAGACTGAGTGTGGATTCACGTGTATCCTGTGTGTCCAAACACACCCCCGTGTGTATCTAACACCTAGGGCTGTCACCAGCTGTCACCAGCTGTCACCAGCTGTCACCAGCTGTCGTTGCTGCTGTCGTTGCTGCTGTCGTTACTGCTTTCGTAACCATCCCCAACTGGTCCAACTGTCACTGCTGCTGTAATTGCGCAGCTGTCATTCCTGCTGTCATTGCTGCTGTCATCGCTGTCGTTGCTGCTGCTGTGCTGTCATTGCTGCTGTCATTGCTGCTGTCATTGCTGCTGTCATTGCTGCTGTCATTGCTGCTGTCATGAGCACCCCCGCAGGACAGTGTGTGGTGCCACTAACGAGAGAGACAGGACACTCAAGATATAGATGCATGCGCGCGAGACCGCTCACTCGCACGCCCGACGCCACATGAGAAACCCTCTCAACAGTAGCCACGCACGGTCAGCAGCAGCGGGCGTGAGTCGGAGAATCTGCAAAACCCTTGCCCTCCTTCCTCCAGCATGTGCCGTGATGGGCTCCAGCGCTGGTTCATCTGCCGCTCAAAAATCTCACGCGAGCGAACGGTGTCAATCCTCAGCCGCGAGGATTGGGACCTTGAAATCACGATCACAAGCAAAAACGCGCAGAGCATTGAGCAACACACCTCGGGTTGAACCTCTCAAGGTGCATGCTGGCACCGGCAGTCTGCATGTGGATCGTAGACGATGACTATGGCTGGAACTCAAGTTCGTTCACGAGGGCTATGGCTGCCTCACGGCTGTGCCTGTGGCGCTGCCTCGCTGTCGCTGTCGCTGTCGCTGTCGCTGTCGCTGACGCTGTCGCTGTCGCTGTCACTCGCGGGGCCCCGCGCTGACATTGTCACCGCCTGTCGTTGGCATTCACTGGCTTCACTGTCACTGTCACTATGGCTGTCACTGCTCCTGGTGCCTTTCACTCCTCCTTGGCAGCTGGCTGTCACCAGCTGTCACCAGCTGTCACCAGCTGTCACCAGCTGTCACCAGCTGTCGTTGCTGCCGTCGTTGCTGCTGTCGTTTCGCAGCCGCTGTCATGACATATTGACCACGTCATGACGGTTAACAGCCGTTTTAACCGTCATGACGTGAACTTTCCATAGTCTCTCATGGAGGCAACCGATACGAGTCGACTGGTGTGTGTCGTCGTGGTTTCGTATCAAGAATACTCACTCACACACGCACGGGAGTACCTAGGTAGGGCAATTTTACACGGTCTGCCACTACTAGTACCCAGCGCTGGCTTCTGACTGTCGTTGCTATCTCTCCCTTCTCGACTGTCTGTGCTTGCTTGTGCGTCTTGGGGGCGAAGACTTTTTGTGTGAATGGCGGGTTGTGGAAACGTGATACAACTCTAGGTCGGAGAACGCCGACACTGCTCGTGATGCAGAAAAGGCCGTTCGAGCCGCTTCGAGGGCCCGCCGGTGCGTGCCGTACCGTCAGCGGCGCGCGTGGCGGCGCACCAGCCTTGTGGGGAATCAGCCTCTCCGAGTGCGAGGCGCTCTGTGAGGCTAGCGGAGCGTGTGTGGCAGCGCAGCACGCATCCACACCAAAAAAGCGAGGCAGGGTGGACATGGCATGCGAACTGATTTTGGCGCCTGCACGCGTCTCTCACACCCTGCCGCTCGCTAACACCGTGTGCTTGCTCAAGCGGGCCGAGCCGTCGCCACCAGCTTTGTCGCAACAGCGTGCCGACTCGCTGCAGCCGCCGCCGCCGCCGCCGCTGCCGCCGCCGCCGCCGCCTCCGCCGCTGCCGCTGCCGCCTCCTCCGCCGCCGCCTCCGCCGCCGCCACCAACGTTGCCGCCATCGCCGCACCCTCCGCCTCCTCCACCGCCCTCGCCTCCGCCGCCACCGCCTCCTCAAACCCCCCCCGACGCCTGGATCCTGCATGAGCGGCGCAACTGCTGGTGGGACGGCCACGGCGCGGAGGAGGTGGACTCGCCGCGAGGGAGCGACGTGCCGGGCGCACGCACCCTCGCCGAGTGCAAAGCGGCGTGCAAGAGCGCGGCAGCCTCTGGGCTGCCGTTTTGCGAGGGCGTCGTTTGGGAGCGCCGTGAGGGGAAGTGCTACCGCAAGACGCGCATCATAGTGGGGCTGTGCGAGTTCGATACGCCGCATCGTACGGCATTTGACCTGCACTTGCGATCGGATCTGCCGCCGCTGCCGACGCCGCCGGACACCATTCCAAAGAGCGTGCCGCGCTCGGGCCCACTCACCGTGGGGCGTTCCCATGCGATCCTGCACAGCAGCATGACTTACAGCAGCATGAGATTCCGGCTGACCAGCTGCCTACCTCACTCTCCTGCGGGCCGCGCCACGTTCTTCGATGAAGCACTCCGCGGCGCGGTTTGCGACAAGAATTGGATCGAGAATACCGGGGGCAAGAATGGCCACCCGAACGCTCGGCCGCTGAAAGGGCCAGTGCTCCTCGGCTACGATACTACGATCGTAGAGCAGTGCATGCTCGCAAAAGGCCTAGCGTTCGGAAAATGGCGTTCACCCGACATGAGAGTTATCGTCGACTCCTGCAGTGGCGCGGGCTTCAACTTCATCCGCGTCAATCACCATTGGGACTATTGCCTGCAAGTGCAGTACATTATCTGCGCGATGCAGGGCAAGCTGCCAGGCCAACCGCAGCGGACCAGCGCCGCTGGAACGCTCATGGGCGAGATCCAGTTCGCCATGCCGCCGCGCGAGCTGAGGCTCGAACATCTCTGGAATGAGCCGGCCTTCACGGTCTCGTCCGTCTTCATCCATGAGGTGTCCATGCTCGCCGTGCTCTGCAAGAATGGGCGCGAGGTCTTCGAAAAGGGTGTTTGCGAGTCATTCTGGTGCGAGCTCGACCCCACCGCGTACGCCGAGTTCGCCCGGTACCCGCACTAGAACCCATAGTGAAGTGGGGGGGGGGGGGGGGGTGTACACTGTGTCCGTCCACAAGACGCTCGCGATTGAGTGACGCGTTTCGCTAATGCGTGTGCCTTGGTTGGGCCACTCCGGGGTGCCACTCGGGCACTGCCAGGTCTGCTCTTCCCGTTTGCCGTTGTGCGCGTGTTGAGTTGCAAGTCCAAGTGCTCTCTCTGGAACTCTACGTTCTTTCATCCGCCAGTGGGCGCCAGTCCCGTGTCCAATGTTATCGTTGAGTCGCTGTTGCTACAGAGCACCTCTGATGTCAGACACGCACCCGACAGCACCCAATAGCACTGACAGCACCTGACAGCTGGTCTGACAGAGGCACCTACCTGACAGTGCCTGACAGTGCCCGACAGCCCGACAGATCACCTGACAGCACCTGAACAGCCTGACAACCAGGGCTCAGGGGGAAGCAGCATCAAGTGAGAGCAGGAAGGATGGCGCTTAGGGTCGGCTTTGAACAAGGGTTTCCAAAAAAAAACTGTTCAGTTTTCAAAGGCAAAAACGCCGGCGTAAGCCCTCCCCTCACACTGACACTTCTCCCCTATTCCCAACTCTAGGTTGCGCGCACGTCTCCCAGCGAGCTAGGATCTCCGCTTTTTCTCCCCTAGTCATCCGCCCGCGCCGCGCGCCTCTATGGGCGTCTAGTGCAGCCACTGACAGAACTATTCCCGAGGAGTGGTCGACGTCTCGCCTGAAGTCGGGTGGGCTCGCGCACTGCTTAGCCCTAGGGGAGGGGTGTGTGTGAGGTGGTGGAATGGTAAGGTTTCAGGCCACAGGGGTGGGGGATTTGGGGGATGAGTCAGGAGCCAGCAGCCTTCCTACTGGTCCTGAGTTCACAGCTCCTCAGCCCGACGGGGTGGTCCCTTGGATTCGGGCCCCGCTCCCTTTTCCTGCGCCTGGTCTGTCCCTGTCATGTGTGTGTTGCGAGATGCAGAGCTGGTTAGCTGGAGCACAGAGCTGGTTACTGGAGCACTGGTTAGGCTGGAGAGCTCTTGTTAGGCTGGGGCGCAGAGCTGGTTGGGCTGGAGCACAGAGCTGGTTAGGCTGCTGGTTAGGCTGGGGCACAGGGCTGGTTAGGCTGGAGCATAGAGCTGGTTAGGCTGGAGCACAAAGCTGGTTAGGCTGGAGCGCGGGCGGTGCGGTGGCCGGCGAGGGCAGCGCGGTAGGCGAGAGGAGGCCGCGGGGCGTCGAGTGGCGCGATAGGAGGGTAGGCTGGCTGTGGGGGTGCAGTATGGCCGCTGGGACGCCAGCGAGTGCACGCTGCTCACTCCGGTCGCGCCCCTTTCCTGGGGATGGCCAGACGGCAGGCCGGCGGGCGCGCCGTTCAACGGAAACCTGTACCTCGAGGTACTCCAACTTTATGGCCGAGGGAATGGCACACACCATGCTCAACGACGCGGGCACAACATTCGACAGCACGAGCGTCACCCCCTGGCTGCGCAGTTCGACGCAACACCGATCGACGGGAGCAAGTCGTCTGCACGGCTCGAAGCCTTTGTCGGAGATCCGCGCGTGAATATCCTGAACGGTTGGGGGTACGGGTTCTACGGCACCCGCCACGGCGGACTCCTGGGCAGGCGCTGCGGCCGCTCTGGCGCTGCTGCGCGCCGTGCTCGTGGCCTGTCTCCCAGTCGTACTCGCTGGAGGAGGTGCGGGAGGGCAACCCTGCCCTCGACGGCAGCGCCTGGCGCCGGGGCGTCCGTTGGGAATGCTGCGGGCTTACGTGCATCCCATTCGGAGGCTACACGCTGCTGAAGGTGGTCGAGGGCGATGGGACGTTGACCGCTCATTTTGACGAGTTGGGTCGAGTACATTGGCAGCGTGCCTATCTGGTCGTGGGTGGGGAGCATGGGCGAGGGGGGTGAACTTTACAATGAACTTTAGAGTCGGAGACCTTTCTTATAGTGTCGGCAGAAGAAGTTTTGCTCTCTCTGTCTCTCCGCAGAGCGGGTGTCTCAGAAGTGCGAGACCGCAACACCGATTCCTGGATCCTGCGAGGGCCGAGGGTGGGGCACCACGCGCGCCGTAGGTAAAAAAATCAGTCCGGCTCCAATTCTTTCACAAAGTCGACGACCGGCGCCGGTGGCCTGTGCTCGGGCGAGGTCCATGTGTCACTTGTGTCGAGCACTTTCTTTCTTTTTCAGGGTATGTAGCTCTTGTAGGTGAACTGCTGACAGGGTTTGCGATGAGGAGGCGATCTGTTTGTTCGGTTTCTTATTCAGTTACAGTAACCCAAAACAACCTGACGTGGCGGCGGCGAACATCGGCAAAGGGCATGCGCGCCTCGTTGGCGACTTGAAACTTACGAGTTCGCTTGCGTGCAAGGGTGGCGACCAGCTCGGCTGGAAGGGGGCTTTTGTCGCCTTCGGCAACACCGAGCGGGGGCTGCTTGACTTAGTGATAGGGCATGCTGCATGGCCACGGCCGGAGGGGGGGGGGAGGAGGCGGGGGGGGGGAGGCGGAGGATGCCAAACAAAACTTTTGGTTGCACCGGAGCGGGCGACGTGTGGGTTAAACGCGGTTGCCGCGGCCGTTTCGGATGCACGGAGAACGACCTGTACGGCATTCAATGTGGGCACCACAGCTCGGCGGAGTACCGGGATTGTAAGTGCAGCCCTGTAAACGAGGACGAAGAGACGACTGCGAAGCGAGCGACAGCCATGTTCGGTGCGTGGCGCAGAGTCGCGGCGGAATGAGCGCGCCGCGACGTCCATTTTTGTTGCCAACTCCGCCAGAGCGTGGCAACGCGGAGTGGTTTCTGTTTGCACGCTTCTCCCAGAAGCCCGCACCTATTTGCTTAGCACCAAAGCCCTCTGAGTCATGCTGTGGCTTCGTGCGAGAGCTGCACCTACACTATGCGATTGCGCGGTCGGCGACGTCTCCGCCGCGCCGCTCAAGCAACGAGTCGGCGACATTCCATGACGGCATCGGTGTGCAGCTCTCATGCAAATTCAACTTGATTCAAATGTGGCGAAAAGAGCTCAACGCAGCAAGCTTGAACCGGGATGCAGAGCGACGATGCATGAGGGCACAGGCGCTCGGAGCGGAGAGGACTCGCTAAAACATCAACAACTGATGCGATTTGTGCTCTTTCTGTAATCAAAAATGCGTGATGATTCCTGATGAACGGTTAAATATTCAAACGGCTAGACGGATTCAAAACCGAGCGAAATGCTTGTTGCATGAATGTTGCATGATGGCGGGATGAGCTCAATGAAGAGTATCTGTATCCGGTATGGCGAAGTACAAGCAGAGTGAAGCCTGCGCCTCGGCGGCGGTCCTCCTCGTCGGCGAAGCACGCTCGATACATGCCATGGTAGAAAGGTGGGATATCAGAAGGGCGCACCTGATCTCCGCGCGACGGCGAAGCGGCTCAACCCCGAGCTCGACGTCTCGCCCATGGACAACCCCGCCGTCAAGCCACTCGAGTTCACGCTCGCCAGGTCGGCGACGCAGTTTGAGACGAAGAAGAACACGTCAAGGACTACGTCAAGGCCAAGTTCCCCACGGTAGACTACGTGGACCTCGTCTTCCCCGGCCCGGACGGCCTGATGAGCATCATCAAGACAGCCTGGGTGCTTCCCATCGCCGCCCAAACCGCCTTGACTGGCACCCTCGCCGACTTCCTCCGCACGCTCGGCGCGACGGTCACCGAGGTGGATCTCGACGCGGAGGACGGAGACAGCGACGAGGAGGACGAGCGAGACGGCAACGCGCTCGTCGACGACGAGGCTGAGGAGGAGGAGGAGGAGGAGTTGGATTCGGCGTGGCGCGTCTACTTCCTGCGAGACTCGAGCGGTCGGAGGACTTACGTCGGTGCGAGCCCCGACCCCGTCCGACGACTGCGCCAGCACAACGGCGAGCTCTCGGGAGGTGGCGCGCCCGCCGCGGGACGGCCGTGGCGCATTCTTCTCGTTGTGCGCGGCTTCTCCTCGAAGAGTGATGCGCTCGCTTTCGAATGGGCGTGGCAGAAGCCGCACACCAGCCGGCACATTGCGCGACAGTGGGGTGTGAAGGGATTCGGGAAGTGCGGCACGCGGTCAAAAGTGTCGGTGCGGTTGGCGGCGCTTGCGCTGCTGCTCGTGCACGGCCATTGGGCCGCGTGCGCGCTTCATGTCCGTGTGTGTGCTCCCGAGGAGTGTGGACAGGCGTTGCAGGACGTGCGCCGCGCCGCGCCGCGGGGCTCACGTGCGGACCGCCGTGAAGTGAGTTCTTTGACTAATGTCACACACATGTTGGGAGACTGATAGGTCAAAAGCATAGATCGTCAATCGACGCGTCGCGCCTTTGCCGATCCGCATAGTGAGGTTCTTGGGTGCCCCCCCCCCCCCCCCAGCGCCAGTCTTCACAACGAGGGACCATGTGGAAGACGGCTAGTGCTAGTCCCCCATCGGGAGGACGACCCCGGCTAGTCGCCGACCACACCCACAAAGAACCCTGCACAAAAGACCGGAGGGCGGGGACCTCCTGTTCCTGTTCTTCCTTTTTACCCATCTCCTAGTAGAGGTGCGCATCTGTGGGTTTATTTATTAGTCTTCACAACGAACCTGGTTGTCGCGCCCGCTCCTCCTTTCCTCACAACCCATGTCCGAGGTCCTCTTCAAGTTCAAGTCGGACATCGAATACAGCTCGCACTCGCTCGGCGCCCTCTCCGAGATCTCGGTCGCGGACCTCAAGCAGGCGCGCACGTGCGCGCACGCGCGCGCACGCTTTACGCGCGCGCGCACTCGAGCGCGACCACTTCCGTTGCACTCACCGACGCAGCGCCACCACAAAACTTGCGCGCGCGCCGTGCTCATCGAAGCGTGCTCGCCACCCCCGTAGGCGATCACGGCGGCCAAGGGGGTGCCGGCCGCGTTCGGGCTCGTGCTCACCAACGCAACCACGTCCGAGGGTGCGCCGTTATGTTGAGAAGGGCGGAGAGGGGAGGGCGGCGTATGGGGGCCATGCATTGCTTTTGGGGGCGCGGCGCTGCCGCTGGCATCCTCGCCTGCACAGCCTGGCCGAAGAAGCTCTGTCACCCTGCAGCGTGCGAGGGTGTTTGTGTGTGTGGGGGGGGGGGGGAGGGTGTGTATGCGGTGACCACACCTTTCATCGCCCCTTGACCCCCCCCCCCCCGGGGCCCTGCTCCCACTCCCTCCACCCCCCTGTGTTTGCAGTCTACGCGGACGCCGCCGCCGTACCGTCCGGGGCCCGCCTGCTGTTTCGCCGCGTCCCTCGCTCGCTCGCCAGTGGCGGAGGAGCAAAGTGCGACGACTCTCTCCCTCCCTGCTCCCCCTCCCCCCTCCCCCCTCCTCCGCTCCCCGCTCCTCCCCGCTCCCCCCCCCCCCTTCCCCTCCCCTTCCCCCTCTTCCCTCTTTCCCCTCCCCCCGCCCCTCCGGACCGCCGTCGCCCTTCGGCGGCCCGTCGCGGCCCCGCGCCGCCGTGCGGGCGCGAGCGCACGGAGAGGGACGGCCGCGAGGCGCCGGGGACGCGCCCTGGACGCCTCCGCGGCATGTGCGCGACACGTCCGAGACACGTCCGAGGCATGCACGGCGGCCGTGTCGGAGCCGGGGGCAGAGCGAGGGGCAGAGCTAGGAGCAGAGAGGAGCAGAGGTGTTCGAGGCTTCTGTGCTCCCGCGTTGGCAGTTGTTATGCTCCCGATTCCGACTCGCACACCTACCCCCCTCTCTCCTCGCTGCCCCCCGCTGCCGCTCTCGGCGCTGCACAGCCGCCGCTGCCGCCTCCCGCCGCCGTTTCCCGCCGCAGCTTCCCCCGCCGCCAGCCCTCCCCCCGCTCTCGCTGGCGGTCCCGTTCCGCCGCCTTTGGCGCCAGCCCCCGCCGCCGCCGCCGCGCGTGTCATCGCCCCCCCTCCCGAGGGAGGGGAGGGGGCAGCCCGCTCCGCGCGCCGCTTCTGACCCGCCTCGCTCTCCCTCTGCGCCGCATCTCAGCCCCCCCCCTCTCCTGCCCCCCCTACTTCACCCCCGCCCCGGCCCGCCCCGCCCCGCCCCGCCCCGCCCCGCCCCGCCCCGCCCTGCCCCGCCCCTCGTGACCGCGCCCGCCCCCCCCTTCGTTCCTTCACCGTGCCGCTCACTCTCCGTCTCGCAGCTACGCCGCCTCCTCCGCCGCCTCTGCCTCCGCCGCCTCTGCCTGCGCGCCGGCACCCGTGCCTTCGAAAGTGAGTCTCTCTCTGTGTCTGCTCTGCACGCACGCGTCCTCTCCACACACAAAGAAGCGCCGCACACGTCGCGCGCACTTTTCTCCGCCGTATGGAGTACGAGAGAGGGGGGGGACTGGGCGCTAGCAGTGTGGTGTGCGCGCGCGCGGTAAAGCGGGTGGTGTGTGCGCAGCACGCGCGTGTAAACCGGTGTGCGCGCGTGCGTGCGCGCGCGTGTGGTCTCTGCTGTGCGGGGACGCTGGGGGAGGGTGTGGTTGTGCGCTCTCGCGGCAGCGGGGCGAGAGAGAGGGGGCAAACGCTCGAGGGTCCGAGATGGGCCAAAGGGGCGGGCCTTTCACCGCGCCTGCGTGACTCTCGCCGCCTGTGCCATGTGCTCTCCAGGCGTCAACGGCGCCGCCGCCGCCGCCGCCGCCGGCCGCCGCGTGCAGTTCCGCCTCGACGACCTCGCTCTCTACGCCCAGACGTATGCCTGCTGCGATGCCGCCCCCGGCGCCGGGCGGCGGCGCGGCCGTGCAGGCAGAGTCGTGAGAGAGCCTTCCGAGCACTCCAGAGGAAGCTTTTCACAGCTGTCGCTGTGAAGACGCGCCCTTCACAGCGCTCCTCTACGTGTGGGCGCTAGGCGGACGAGGCGGAGGCGGCGCGCATCAAGCAGATGATGAGCGCCGCGTCGAGCGAGTGGCAAAAGCCGTACTACGCGCGCCACCCCGGCCAGGCGCAGCGAGACCAGCCGAGATGCCGAGTCCGCTGGCCAGGCGCCGAGATGGTGTCGAGATGTTGCCGAGATCACCGGAGATGATGGCCAGGCGGCGCGCGCGTCTCCACCCCGCCTCCCCACTCCCCTCTGGCCGACGCGCACCCACCCACCCGCCCTCCCAACCTCTCGCCGGTAGGCGGCGGGCCGAGGCCGCGGCATGCCCCCGCCCGCGCCGGGGCGGGGTGGGAGCGGGCGGGTGCCGCCGCCGTCCTACATCTGCTACCGCTGCCGCCAGCCGGGCCACTTCATCCAGGACTGCCCAAACAACTCGGTCGCCGACGGCGGGGATGAGAACACCGCGACGCACGCGCGCCGGGCGCCAGTCGGCATCCCCCAAGGCTCGCCGCCCGAGAGAGCCGCCCAAACACTGCCATGGCCGCGCGACGCAGTCCCGGACGGCGCTAGAGGGCGCACCGCCGCCGCGCCGCCTCCCTCTCGTGCCACCGGCGCCACCCCCTCTCACCCCCCCTCTCACCCCCCCCCCCCATGACACCTTGCCCACCCCTCCCCCCGACCCCCCCGCTACTGATGCTGCGGCGGGTGGCTGCGCTCCGGTCGTCACAT